CCCTACAGTTTGGGAGCCAGTGTGCAGCAGTTTTTCTCTTAGCTTCCTCATGTCCTCATTTTCCATTTGTTGTCTTTGTGTGATTTCCTCATCATGTCTCTGTATCTTCTCAAACAACATTTGATGTGATTTGAGAAAGCACAGAGAAGTCACAGAAGGTCAACAAGTGGAAAATGAGAATGTGAAGAAACTGGAAGAAAAATTGCCACAGGTCAGCATCAAAACTACAGGAAAAACTTCCATGTTGAAAGATCCACCCTAGAGATAAGCAACACTTTAGGTAGGGTCCAAGATTAACAAAGTAAAGGTAAAGGTTCCCTTGCTCGAAAGCCTGTCAAGTCCGACGCTAGGGTTGCAGTGCTCATCTCAGTTTCAAAGCCGAAGAGCCAGCGCGGTCCGAAGACGTTTCCGTGGTCATGTGGCCGGCATGTCTAAACACCAAGGCGCACGGAATGCTGTTACCTTCCCACTGAAGTGGTACCTACTTATCTACTTGCAATTTCTTGCTTTCGAACTGCTAGGTTGGCAGGAGCTGGAACTAGAGATGGGAGCTCACCCCATCATGCGGCAACTCGGATCTCGAACTGCTGAACTACTGACCTTCCACAGCCTGCAGTTCAGCGTCTTAACCACTTAACCACTTGAGCCACTGCAGCAGATTAACAAAGCACCCAAGAAATTCAAGGAGCACAATTCAAAGCACTTCTATCCTTATATAATCCATTTCTGGATTGCGCTGCCAGTTCCTCTGTTTAATCATATCAGAGATGCCTCACCCTAGTCTTTAGCATGTTGAGTCAAGTCCCATGGCTTGCACAAACTCTGGGCTGTTCCAGATGTTCTTATCAGAAGAAACACCTCCTCCCACAGCATGTGCTGAGATCATCTAAGCAGGCTCTATTGTGAGTGTCCCACCATCTGAGATACTGTAGCCTGGCTGCAAGATTTAGTACTCTCTCAGGATGGTATCCCAAATGTGGAAGTCCCAGGCCCAGGATGTTCACCTACTATCATTTTCAGAAAGCAGGTCAAGAGATTTTTATTTCAGAAAGCTTTTATGAGGACTCTGTGGACATTTTGACATGAAGAACAGTTGGTTTCAACACTTGCTTTGTGCAGTGTTTTATACACACTATTGTTCATTTCATGGTTCTTTTATGGCATTTGTTTATTGTGGTTTTGTTGCTTAATTTTTATTGTGAACTGCACAGCAATAGATGTGTCTTTCACAGACATCAGCATTTGCTGTACATGAACGGAGGAACTAAGCTCATTAAGACACACAAAATGATAAGCAGCATCACTGAACCCCAGCGCATGAAAATGTAGTATTATTATTCTGACTTCCAGATATGACCAGTAGTGTTTAAGTTCTAAAACAATCATAGCAGCTCTGGAACAGTTTGAGACTCCCAGGTCCACTTCAAATATGACAGCCGGTGTGGTACAGGGGTTAAAGTACTGGACTAGGATCTGGGAGACCCGGGTTCAAATCCACGCTCTGTAAATATGGAGGCTTGCTGGGTGACCTTGGGCCAGTTACACATTCTCAGCCCAACAACAGGGTTGTTGTGAGGATAAAACAGAGATGAGGACAATGTAAGCCCTTTTGGATACCCATGGGGGAGAGAGATGGGGTATAAACGAAATAAATAAATAAAAGTTCCATACAGAAATCACCGTTGTGGAAGACTCAACATGTAACACAGTCCACTTACAAATACACATACAACTCTGTAACTAGCGATATACACTTTTATCCTGCCTTTCCTAGGAACTCAGGGAAGCAATCATGCTTCTCCTTCCCATTTTGTCCTTGCAGTAACCCCTGTGATGCAAGGTAGACTTATAGAGAATGTCACTGACCCAGTGAACTCCACGGCCAACTGGGGATCTGAATCCAGGTCTCCCAGGCCTAGTCTACTAACCATAACTCTGCCAACTATGTGTACACGCAGCGTACAAATAACTGGAACTGGAAGCTATGGTCCACAGTGATCGTGTACAAAATGTGTGCAAGAGCTGCATGGTATGAAGAAGTGCTTTTGGTGTAAGAATCCTGTCACTTGTGAAAGTGGCTCTGAGTTTGGAAGCACATGCTCCTTTTGTTTAAAAAAAGAAAAAGATCAACTTGCTCAAGGGCCCTAGAAATAGATCTGAATTCGGGGGCACCTACCCCATTAAAACAAAACAAAGACACATAACAAGATACCTGCAGCATTGCTAATTAGCACAATTAACCCCACAGCACCGGCTAGTGTTCCAACACAGTATTTGCCAGCCTGATGCTGTGGTGAGCACGAGACAGGGCTATATCAAAGGCTAGAGTAGGTTTGGTGTCTACCATAAAGCCTTGAAAAGTTATGTGACAGCCACTGGCGAAAACAAACTTTGGGAGCCTGAGTCCACTCTTAGTATACCACAAGTACATGAAACATCCAACCAGGAAAAGGAATGCATCTTCTCAAAGCCGAACTCCCTTTGCCAGGAAAAACAAAGGGAGAGGAGCAGCAGGTCAGTATTTCTGAACACCTTTGTGCTTGTTCACAAAAGGATTGTTTGGGTTCTGAGAGTTCTCTCCAGGCATATAATGTTGGCAGAGTGTGTTGGGGATTATAATTTGGTTTCACTGTCCTGAGCGCACCCCATAGTATCAGCTACCATGGAGAGAAGTTCGGGGATTCAGCTCTCCCTTAATACACACAAACTGAGAACAAGGCAAACGTAAAATTGAATGAGGGACAATCACGATCCCCCCCCCAAAGAATCAAAAGAGCCAACCCAACTACACACACACACACACACACACACACACACACACACACACATATACACACACACACAGACGGAGGCTGCTTAGATGGGTGGTCTAGAAAAGTAGTTTACAGCAGCCATCACTGATAGTAGAAACCAAAGTAAGCAGTTAACATTACAAAAAACTTCCGTGCATGTCCCTCGAAAGCAGCGGAATTAGGACGCCCGGTGTGCCGAATGTCCTTTAGTATATTCCAAGACGAAGGATTTCGCCAGAGGAACAGCCCGCGTTTGTGGTTTTTTTTTTTTTTAAGTGCAGCAGCAGAGCCCTGGGAGCCGAGCAAATTCCTGCACCCAAACCAGAGAATGGGGAACTTTGGCATCCTCACCAGTGCTGGCC